TATTATGTCTAAAATTATTAAAACTCATGTTAAGTCAAACAAACAGCATGAATATTATTCTTTTTTTCTTTTATTTTAAACTCTATATTAAATTTATTTATGTGCAATACTTTCTAGCTCTCCCAATATTATTAGGACTATTGTTACACATTAAAGAAAGAAGCATATTAGGTCATAATATGGAGACTAAGTTTTATCCTTCATCTTAGAGTTTCGATGTACAGTTTTGGGTGTATCAAAGAGAAAAAATGCATAACGTAAATTAGAGACACATAATATGCATTACATCATGCTTGAAGTTAACCAGAAGCTCTGCCATAAATTTTGATGAATTAATTTGTGTATGCTTCCATATGAATGGTTATGTTAAATCTATTGGATAACTATAAAAAGAGTTTTAGGTTTTGTAATAGTCACAATGTATATTGGGTAAAAATACATCCAACTGGATTTCCTGCCTCTGATATATCTCATGCTAGATAAATCAAAATGAAGCATAAGAAATTAAATATTATAGCAAGCAAAATAAGCTACCAACTACATTATCTAAATATTATGGAAAGGTTAGTCATAGAGAACTGCTCCATAAAGAAAGCAAAAAAGAAAAAAACCCACCATTTAGGATTAATTAGGACACACAGTGGCCATTGACCCTCTAAGACACTTATTTTAATGATTATAATAATGCTCTTCAGTGCATGAACATTTGAATTCCTAACTAAAACCTAAATTAACCGAACAAAGGAACGATTGAATTTTTAAATGAATCTTCATTATAAATATTATTATACCAACAATTGATGTCAAAATTAGAAATTCTACATTTGATTGCATTCTTGTTGAGTACTACAGAATCATAAGAAACAATTGAAGTTTTTTTTTTTTTTGTTAGGCACAACTTTATCCATCACCTTTGATTTGTGCCTATCGTTGTAATCTTTCCACATTCATTATATTTTCTCATCTTTGTTAAGGAAAACCACTGTAAAAGAGTCTCTTTTTAATTTCATCGTCGAATAGGATCACAGGATTCAGGTAAACTGGAACAAAAATTCAAATACAGAAGCATAATCAAAACAACCAGAAAAACACACAAAGATTTTACGTGGAAAAATCAGAGAACAGAAAAAAACCACAAAAACACATCACCAAAAATTCCACTATGAAATTCTGAAAGTTTTACAAATGACTCACACATGTTTCTTCTCCACACTCACACGAAGAAACTTACATGACTTGCACCAACAATCTTCACTCTTCAATCCGACGCAAAAAAAATCATGTTGAATCACCGAAATTCACATCTTCAACACTCCTCACCTTCATCGAGATGCTAGTCAAAGAATTCAAAAAAAAAACAAAACAGCAAGCTCACTGATTCACACTCAAATATTTGCTAAAAAACTAATTTTGTGTGTAGTAACCACACCGGGCGCTTAGGCATTCAAACTTGGTGGCATTCAAACTTGGTCTTAAGCGCCAAGCATTCCGTAGTGGTGCCTTATAATGGGAGCCTAGACATCAATAGACCGGCATCTATGCATCGATCTCTCAAGAATAAGAACAGCGCCCACTCTATAACGAGCGCATATGCAGCCAAAGGCACTGGCTCATCTGTTCGAGTAGCACCTAAGTGAGCGCTTAAGCACCCACAACCCAACGCATATGTGTCAGGTGCCTTGTGCTTAGGCTCCATAGCCCAACAATCTCCCAATTGGAGACTATAGCACTCAACACCCGTCTTGTACCTATAGCTCCATTTGAATCACCTTCATAGTCACGTAATGTGGTCACATGCCATGGTGTGGCTCGCCCCCGATCTCAAACTTCATGAAACCCAACTGAAACCAAGCACAGCTTCAATTTCTCAGCAGTCACCACCTTCGTCAACATATATCCGCAGGATTCTCAGTTGTGTGTATCTTTTCCAAGAAGTAATTGTTCATCTTCCAAAGGTGATGAATGAAATGATACTTGAGCTGGATGTGTTTCATCTTGGCATGAAAAGTAGCACTCTTAGCAAGATGAATCGCACTCATATTGTCACTATAGAGTCATTCAATCAACTGCTACTTGCCCAATTCTGTCATGAAAATTTGTAACAAAATCATCTTCTTGCTAGCATCAGTAATAACAACATAGTCGGTCTTCAAAGTTGAAAGTGCAATGATCTTATGCAACCTGAAAAACCCAACTCATCGTTGTGCTCCTCAAAGTGAGGATATATCCCGTTAACTTCTCCTACTGTCCACATGAATCTAAAAAACCCTATAGACGCCTCTCTGCACTTCATAGCAAAGTGTCCTATTGACTGTTCCCTTTAAATACTTGAATCCACTTTACCACCTCCCAATGATGTCTTTCTGGATTGTCCATATACCTGCTAACCGCTCGCATTGCATATGCAATATATGGTCTGACACAAATCATTGCATATAACAAACTTTCAATTGATGAAGCATAAGAAGTTCTCTCTATCAGTGTTTGCTCTGCTTCAGAGCTTGGCAAAAGCTTCTTATATAGTTTGAAGTGACCACCTAAAGGAGTGCAAACTAGTTTCGCCTCATTCATGTTGAACCTCTGTAGGATCATTTCAACATACTCTTTGTGAGACAACATTAGTGTTTCTGCATACTTTTCCATGTTGATTCTGATCCTGAGAATCTTCCTGGTTGGACATAAATCCTTCATCTCGAACTCACTTGATAACTGTTTCTTCAAGTCTCTGATTTTCTACATATCTGCTCCTGCAATCAATATATCATCCCACACAAAAGAAGCAAAATATAACAATTATCGAAGTTTTTGATATAGCAATGGTGGTTTGCCTAGCACTTCATGTATCCATTGTCTGACATGAACCAGTCAAATCTCATGTACCATTGCATCGGGGTCTGCTTCTAGCAATAGAGACTCTTCTTCAATCTGCAGATCAAACATTCTTTGTCTGACACCTTATAAAATTGTGGTTGCACCATGTATAGCTCCTCCTCCATATTTTCATGTAAGAAAGCTATTTTTACATCCATCTGCTCCAGATGTAAATCTTCCTCTGTTACCAGACTCAGCACAACCCTGACAGTCGTCATCTTCACATATGAGAAGAAGATCTCTGTGTAATTCACTCCTTCCTTCTGCTTGAAACCTTTTACAACAAGTCTTGCCTAGTAAAGTATGCTACCACCTGACTCCTCTTTCAGCTTGTAGACCCACTTGTTATGCAATGCTCTTTTGTCATTTGGCAGTACTGTCAAATCCCAAGTTTGTTTTTACTCCAAAGATTACATTTCTTCATCTATGGCGAGCTCCCACTCACGTGAATCTTCAACTTGAGTGGTCTCCTCAAAGAACTCTGGTTCACCGCTATCACTTAATAACAAATAGCGTAAAGAAGGAGAATACATTTGTATGGGAGTTTTCACTCTGTTGGATCTTCTTACTTCTGTAGCAGATGACTAAGGAACTTCTAGTGCTCCTTATTGAGCATTACTTCTTTCTCTGTCTTTCTGATCACCGGTATCTTCTGTCTCCACGTATCTAAATTCTTCAGAAGTAGCTAATGGAATCGCTTGAGTTTTGACCATGTCCTTGTACATCACCATTTCATTCAATGTGACGTCTCAGCTTCTCATGAATTTCTGATTCTGATAATTGTAGAGCTTGTACTCAACCTCATCTGAACCATATCTAATAAAGGTGCACTTGATAGATTTTGAATCAAGTTTGCTCTTGAACTCTGCATCAACATGCACGTATGCAGAATGCCTAAGTACTCTTAAATGAGATAGACATACATTTTTGTCACTCCAGGCTTCTTCAAGTAAGTCTTTCTCCAAAGGTATTGATGCACTACGGTTTATCAGATAAACAGTTGTGTTCACTGTTGCTGCCCAAAATTAGTTTAGCAAACCTGCATACAATCTCATGCTCCTAGCACGCTCTAAGATTGTTCATGCGCTCAAACACATCATTCTGTTGCGGTGTCCTTGGGACACTGAACCCCCTCTGTAGCACAAAAATTCTCGAACTTCTGATCACGTTCTGAACTTTTGATCACGACACTCACCCCTATTATCTGATATGAGACACTTCAGCTTCACGTTTGTCTCATTTTCTACCATAATCTTCCATTTTTTAAGGACTTCAAATACATCAAATTTCTGTTTTAAGAAATAAACACATACATTACTCGTGCAAGCAACAATGAACATGACGCAAAAAAATCATGTTAAATCACCAAAATCAACCTCTTTGACACTCCTCACCTTCAAATACCTTTGGCATGCTTCTCCCAAATGTCAACAAATTAAGTTATTGAGATAATCAATCATGTGTTATTCAATATCCTTTTCTGTTGCTATCTCTACTTTCACATTAGTTACCTCATCATAAATGAATCTTCTTAGAAGATCAACAAAACATAGAACCAAATTATTAAGCAAATCCAATATACACAAATTTTTTCAACAAATATTACATTACGTAAAATCCGACTTCATATGTTACAATTTCTGATTCGAATGCAATAACCATGATTTTAAACCTCTTATTTATTCTTAAATATTAGTAACATATGCTTATTCATTATCATTAGGCATCCCATTAATCCTTAGAGTTAATTAAAAAAGCTTGTTACAGACAACTCAAATATCTCCCACGCCAAGAATGTGTTTGACACAGTGGCAACGATTCCCATATTCATATCAACATTAATCCTTGAATCAAGCCTGCAAGGCTTTGACACTTGCCGGTTGATCATCTGGCCAAAAAATATGTGAATGAACCTACTCCCCAAACACATCCTTAATCTTAGTATGAGATAAATATTTTACCTTTCTGCAGCTTCTTTAGAGCAAATTGCTTTTTTTAATTGAAGAAATAAAAAACATGGGTGTTTTTTCTTTTAATCTTCGCTCAGTTTATAATTTTATCCCTTGTTCATGCTTTTTGAGATAATCTTTAACATTAAAACCACAAGTAAATTCGGCAAAATAAAATACCTGAAGCTTGAGAACGCTAGTTTTCTGCTCCGCAGTAAGAACACTGCCTTCATCAGATCGATCCGATAGGAACCCGGTAAGCAGCACAAACGCCGCAAATCCCATCATCAGAATGAACAGCCCAGATCCCGCACCGAACCCGACACCGACCACCGGCCCCACATAGAATCCACCAGCCGCGCCGCAAGGCGAAG